ACTGGCTAATAGAGTATATGCTGTCGCACCAAACATGCTTTTGCCTCCTTCCCTGAGCAAAAGTAAATGCTTTGTGTGTGCCATGTAGTGAACATGTTACAGTTCACTCTCGGCACAAAGTGTCCCAGTGAACAGCAAAGGAGACTGCCAGAAAAAATCATAAAATCATAGAATAGTTTGGGTTGGAAGGGACCTTTAACGGTCATCTAGTGCAACCTCCTCTGCAATGAGCAGGGGCATCTTCCACTAGATCAGGTTGCTCAGAGCCCTGTCCAACCTGACCTGGAATGTTTCCAGGGATGGGGTATCTACCACCTCTCTGGGCAACCTGTTCCAGTGTTTCACCACCCTCATTGTAAAAAAGTCCTTCCTTCTATCTAGTCTAAATCTTCCCTCTTTTAGTTTAAAGCCATTACCCTTTGTCCTATCGCAACAGGCCCTGCTCAAAAGTTTGTCCCCATCTTTCTTATAAGCCCCCTTTAAGTACTGACAGGCCACAATAAGACCTCCCTACAGCCTTGTCTTCTCCTAAATAACCCCAAGTCTCTCAGCCTGTCCTCATAGGAGAGGGGCTCCAGCCCTCTGATCATTTTTGTGGCCCTCTCCTTAGAGCACATCAGCTTTCCTAGAGCTCCCAAACCAATGCCCTCTGACTCTCTTGGTTGTGAGGCTTGACCCATCAGCATGGAAAGAAAGCAAAATGATCAGGGGTGGTTGGGTCTTCTTAGGTAAACAAAGAAAATGAAAACTGGTGGCTATTCCTAACACAGTCCTTCTGTCACAGTAGGAGATGGCAATTTCATTTACTCACAAGCTGACGAAAGCCAGAAAGGCAAAGTCGCCCGACTGCTGAGCCCTGTGATTTACTCTCAGAACTCTGCCCACTGCATGACTTTCTGGTACCACATGTCTGGCGCACATGTCGGCACCCTGAAGATCAAACTGCGGTACCAAAAGCCAGATGAATATGACCAGGTGCTGTGGACCCTGAGCGGGCACCAGGCAAACTGCTGGAAGGAAGGACGCGTTCTTCTTCACAAGTCTGTGAAACACTATCAGGTGAGCTTGGCCACTCCGCACTGAACTAACAGAGCTGAGGCCAGTAAGACCTTGCTGGTCATGTTTTATACACCGTATCAGAAGATGTCACTGAAGGATTTATGTAGACAGTATTATACCTACAGATGAGGTGCTGTCGCTCTGACAGTAATAATAGAGGCATATTTCATGGTACCTCTGATGACAGTGATACAAGCAATTTGTTATCATAGGCCAAATAAATACTTTCTAAATCATTTTTCATCTGTCACGAAACTGCATCCTTGCCACAGTTTTGCTGCTGATGTAAAATTCTTTAATGAAGTTATGACATTATATAAATTCACATTTGTGTATATAAGTTCATAAAGGCATGCAGTGTAGATTGGCAGGCCACAATCAACGTACATATAGATGTGGCATCATGACAAGTGAAGATGTGTGTTAGCAACTAATGAAGATATCCAGAATGCTGCAATTGTGTGTTAACATGAAAACAATGTGAACATTATCTTATTTTGCCAGGTGGTTATTGAGGGAGAAATTGGAAAAGGAACTGGAGGAATTGCTGTGGATGATATTAAAATTGACAATCACGTAGCACAAGAGGATTGCCGAAGTAAGTATGAATAGCAAGAACATACAGAAATCTCATCCAAAATATTATTTCTTTTATTTTTATAGCTGTTTTCATCTGTGAGAAAGGGATAGATAATTATTGACTATACAGGAAGTTTTGCACTGAAAACATCCTGATCTGGCCCATAGCTTTATTCATAGTAAGTGCCACTGCTCTCATCAGTACTGCAGCAACTGCAGTCTTTTGGATCAGAACAGGCATCCTACTGATGTGAGTCACTTCATGTTCACATTCTCACATCTCTCCCTGTATTTTATATTGCTGCCGTCTTTAAATTTCTCTACTTTTCCTAATACTCTTCCCTGTTTTAACTAATGCTCAAAGTCCAATTTTATTTCTTCATCCTTTTTAGATCACTTACTACCAAGCCTACTTGAATTCTATTTTAAAGGACTTTATCAAACCCTTACAGGACACACAGATAGGGCAAAATGGCCCCTTCTCTGTCCTCTGCTGTCCTGTCATTCTGAGTTTGCTGTGACTCTTTTGCTGTAGTCACCAGCTCCCAGACATGTGGGAGACAAAGTAATGTTAGAACACGGCCTTTTCCACATCTGAGCCAGGCTATTCCTGGGATGCTATTTGAGTCCTTTTATTTCTGGCCAGTCTTGTGTTATTCCAGTCACCACTGATCATACGTACATTGCCTACTGCACATAATTTGGCAGCAGCAACCCCAGATGAAGACAAGCAACTGAACCCTGTCCTTCATGATGGAGATGAAGCAATGACTTTTGTGTAGGAGAGGGAATAGCACTGAGAACCCTCAGCATTAGGAATGTAAACTTAAGCTATGTGAGTTGGCAGCATAACTGAGAGCAATAATAGAGGGTGTTCCTCACTTTTTGTAGCTAATATACTTTTGAGGGTCACATGACGGACTTCAGCTACATGGTAATTACACTGCCGGATGAGAAAACTGTACAATCTGTTTTTAGCACACAGTCCATCTTCTGGGGTTCATCATGTGCCACAGAGAGACAGCCACCAGCAAAGAGAGGCAGGATGCACTGCTTGGTCCTCCTGCAGTGTCCTCAGTGCCAAGAAAGGTCCTGGAACCACAGTGATGGTACTTACCTGACTCCAAAATGAGAGAAGAAAGTAACTTCTTTCCTACCTCCACATGTTTTGGTTGTTCAAACCGAATGCTGAGCAAAGATTTTGGCCTGTGGAAGCTAAAGCCAAAAGCTTAGTCTGAAGCCCAAACAGAAGTGGTCTCGCTGCAGTCAGTGAAACTATTCTTGTGATTAACTATGCCTATGCTGATGAAGTGTTATGGAATTGGGCTCCAAAATTGTAAATACAATGAATGAGATGCTAATTCATCACACTGATTTTCTCTTTCCCAGGCATGGAAAACCCCCGCTGATAACTAAAACCGTGCCAAGACTGGGCGGAGAGGAGTTTTTAAATCTTTCTTTTTTCTCCATTAATTTTCAGAGCCCATCATAATGAACAGTTCTGTCAAGCTGACATAATGATGCTCTGACACAGGAAAATCTGCTCTACCATTATTGCCAGCATGATAGTCAATCAGTGTTTGTAACCCTAATAATCAATGTCAATTCTCTTTGCTTCATTAGAATCAACTGATGTGGAGAATGAAATAGATGAAGAAGAAGACCCAGAAAGTAATCAAACAGGTAAAAATTGTGTTATTGTTAAAAAGAGAATGAATTTTAAAGTGTATTTTCATGTGAATTTGTATATTCTATTTATTTATTTATAGATTAGTTCTCTAAGTGCTTATCGTATTGAGGCTTTTTGATTTATCTAGATTAGATGCTAAGAAGGCTTACATTTATTTGAAGGTTGCAATAGTTTTATTCTTCTGTGTCATATAATCTTATGGACTTTGTATTATTTATACCTATCTCAGACCTTCCAAATTCTATATACATAATTTGTTACATTTTATACATATATATGCATGCACACTACAGCTCCTTAATACTTTGTTATCTAGAAAGCTTGTCCACAGCTGAAGAAACAGCTATCATTATATCTTACAATTTATGACTCGCACAGTGTCTAGGTAATTAGGCTCAAAACTCTTCAGGCTAATTGTTTCACAGACCTGGCTGAAAATGTCATTTTATGACCAGTCTACCAAAGCATTATCATTTTCAATGATGATAGCTGTAAATGGATCATTAAATGGATCATAATTGTCATATTGTCCCAATAATAAAATATACTTGCATGTTTCAGGCAATGAGCTTAATTTTTTTCTGTTGCAGTGAACAGGATTGCAATCATTGATTTTAGTGAAAGCAGGGTTTGTCCAAAAAGACTTTTTGGCTTTTCCTGCAACAATTAGCAGGGTTTGCAAGCTTATTGGATCTCTTTCATAAACTGAAAGGGTCGAGGGAAAACATTATAATACCCAGTGAATATTTTACACAAGGGGGCAAAGTGCTCTTCTGTGTCAGTTCTGTCACTATTTCCATTTCAAGATCCAATCCTGAAGTCAGTGAAGTGGAGATGGATGCAAAATGTCTGGAGATTCCCAACCAACATCTAAGGCTATAAACATTCACACTCAGCTGAATAAGATTTAATTAACATTTTTGAGCTAAATACTACAAGCTGGCAAAATATAATCAAAAGGTCTGGTTAGTCATTCCCAAGACTCCCACTTGATCCAAGACAGAATCAGACCCCTACTAACATGCAGCAGATTCAAGGATTGGAGAACAGTATGAACAAATCAACAACCATTTAGGCCACACTACACTTTTCAGCTATTTATGACTCCCTCCAAGAAGCTAGGTTTTCAAATTATGTAGCAACTTATGTCAAAAACTGGATGCCCTCTCTCCAAATTTCCAACTCATCAAAGTTGTAACTAGAATCAGTTCTGAAAGTTTTGCAATTCTTTATTCCATTTCAGGGTTTACACCTCCATACCGTACAGGCGAGGACTACGATGATAACATCTCCAGGAAACCAGGCAATGTCCTGAAGACCCTAGATCCAATCCTTATTACCATCATAGCCATGAGTGCACTCGGTGTGCTTTTAGGAGCCATCTGTGGAGTTGTCCTGTACTGTGCCTGTTGGCACAATGGGATGTCAGAGAGGAACTTGTCTGCACTGGAGAATTACAATTTTGAACTGGTCGATGGTGTAAAACTGAAAAAAGATAAACTAAACACACAGAATTCATACTCGGAAGCATGAAGGTGTAAAGCGACTGGAGAAGTTTCAGAGAATCGGGATGGAAGGACATAGCTCGGTCGTGCTGGGGAACTGTTGATCTTCTTTTACTGTACAGGCTGAAAAGTGCATTGATGACACTGAGCCAAGCTTTTCTCAGGAGCTTCAATGAGTGTGTAACCGACAAACATGGACAACAATCTGTGTTAACAATCTGAATCATGTACAGTCTGCTTTTTCTGTTGGTTTTGTTTGAAATAATCAAATGCTGGTGTTGAGACCAAGTATGATTGACTTATAGTTCATTTTGTCTTTCTTTCTCTCCCTCTCTTTTGTTTTCTGTTAATGGATAATTTTGTTTTTACTGTGCAAAATCCAAGATGCTGTCACAAAACGTATTCAGTGGGGTCCTTTGGATGGACATGCTGCCTGTAGCTCAGTGCCCAGAAAATATTGGAGTAACAGCAATTTAGTGGACTCCTGCACCTGTATTTGTGTATAATTGCTCGTGTTGTGCATAGGCAAAAGAAGGGTTAGGATGTTTTTGAAAGTACTGCTGCATCAGTACCGATATAGTGTGTCAGCTCTGTTTACGAAGCAATACAGTCAAATTTTATCGATGTTTTTCAGTGTTGTACTAAATTTTGTGCTTGTGAACTCCATAAAAGAGTATGTGCCATCATCAGAGACAACTGGTAACCGAGTGTACTGCCTAAAAACTAAACAAAAAAGTCCTTGGCACTGGCTAGTGTATGTCCTCTCAAGTGCCTTTTTGTTTGTACTGCTTCTCATTGTGTTAACATTAGCTACAGCTCTGCTTCTCTGCAGTTATGCCCTAGTCTTTAATCATATTCTGATGGCTCACTGACTAAAGGAAAAGTATATTTTAGTGTAAGAAAGTAGCCTCAGCAAGGCAAGGGCTAATCAGATTCAACAACCTGGCTCGATTGTTCTGCTTTCTGTATTTCAACTTCATGTCTCTTGACCCTTTTGTATAAAGCTGCAATATCCCCTTTTATTGTTCTTTCATATAGAATGTATTTTCAAATGTAAAATCTCTCTCCCTCTCTCTTCTCTTTCTCTTTCTCTCTCTGAGTAGATTGCATAAGCATTTGCCATTGCCAAGGAAAGAAAACTGCAGCTTTAACTTGCTGGTAATGGCAAAGGATTTTATTAGAGTTTGTGTTAAAAAACAAGGGAAAATTCTTAACTTTACCCTCCAAAGTCGAACTTTGGGTTTCTTCTTAACAGCATAAAGTGACAGTATCTTTTTTCCTGAAGTCGTGAAACATACCTTTTATCCTGAACAGCTCACCTGTTAATTACACTAGGGAAAATGATTCCCTTACTGAAAAGATTGCCTTTAAAATGAGAAACTTTCCTCCTCCTGCCCCTACCTGAACCCAGAGTTCTGTTCGCTCGGTAAACGTGTATTTTCATGTTAATCAATGCTAATTGGGCTTACACATGGGTACCGAGGGCAGAATAAAATCCCACAGTGTATGTAGGGTGTGTTCGAACCATCCTGTTATATCCAATTGGCATTTCATACCAGGAGGTTTCTGTTTGACCAGAGGTGCAGACAGTGACAGATTCAGTGAGCTGAGTAGTGTAAGCTGTCAGAAAAACATGTTTGACAATTATGTGGCCATTCTTTAATATTTTAGGACAAATATTACTGGACAAATAATATTCAACAGCCTATGCAGCTGGTCCAACAGGGTAAAAAGAAACAGGAGTATGTTTCCCACAGGGGTCCACAGGAGGAGGCGAGGGGCTGGAGGGGTCGCTCCCCTCCTGCAGGTGCGAGGGGAGTCCCCATGTTTTCTGCGGTGACCCACACACAGCGCAGCCATAACTGGGGAGGCAGCAGCAGAAGGCAGCTTTAACCTTCCCCTGGATATCTACCAACCAGCAGATAAAACCGGTGCAAACATGGGGAAAGGAACGTCCTGCAAAGTGCTGAACTCGTGCTTTTCCTCACTGAATTCCCTGAGCAGAGCCAGGGAAGCCATCGTGACTTTCTGAGTTACTCTTTTCCAAAATTGCTTTTGTAGTAAAGCAATGAAGTATCCTGTCCAGGATTAGGACAAAGAAGGGCTAATTCAGCCTTGAATTACTAGAGCAACAGAATCCACCACTGTTTATCAATTAAATGTTTTGAAGCATATCATTTCACCAATACGAGCCATAAAACAGAAAAACATGTTGAAAATCCACCAGTAGACTAGAAATTGAAGAAAAGGGAGGGAAACTGGAGGTAAAAATATAAGCTTGGAAATCGAAAAGATTTTAAAGGAAGACCCAATAGAAAAAACAGTGGACAGTTGTTACTTCAAAGGAAACCTAAAGGCAGAGACCATAGGGAATATTCAAACACCCATTTAGATGCCTTAAATTGGAAGAGTTACCTTCCCCGGGCTCTAGACCCTGGGTCCTCCAGAAGGTAAGACAGAGCACCTAAGGCCTGAAAGTTAGGCCTAAAAGTTAGTCCATGAAGTGTCCCAAGTGACAAACTCACTTTGGCAGAGGCAGAATTTTCATTTGTACCCAACAGTGTGATTTGACCATAATGGTATCGCAGCAGCTAGTTAACTAACCCAAAGAAAAAATGGATTTTTCAAAACTATTTTCAGCATACCACCACCACGTGATTCAGGTGTTAGGGTCTGTTCTCCTTAGCTGAAAAACTTCTAGTCCGCTAACCTGACTGCGAGTTACATGCATATATTGTCTTGAAAAGAAAATCCCGTTGGGGAGCCCAAGCCCAAAAGCTTTTGAAATATTCCCATAGATTTCAATAGATTCTGGACCAGCTCTTGGTCTTGATCTATTTGAACAGTAAAGCCGGTGGTTGGTGATTTTTTTCTTCTTTTAAAATACTGAGAATAGTGAACGTAAAAAGAAATATATCTCCTTTGTGGTCTTCAGACCTTACTATGATAATGAGGATCTAGCACTGAAGATTTGATTTCTCTGAAGGTAATAGAATGAAAGTTGCCCTTCAATAAAGGAAAAATGATACTGCAACTTTACATTGAAAAGTATCTTGCACTGATAAATATATTTAAAAAAATTATATGTTTATAAAGTTATTAATTTGTAAAGGCAGTGTTACAAAATGTTCAGTTTATATTGTTTTAGATTGTTTCATAATTTTTAAAGTGTAAAATAACATATTTTTTTCTTTATTGAAAAACTATAAAAATCTTCTGTAGTAAAATGATTTCATTTTACTGGTATATTATTGCTTCATGTTTTGTACCATCATAAAACTTTGTGCAAATTTTTTTTACAGAAATTTTTATTTTCTATGACAATATGACACTTGTAAATTGTTGTTTCAAAATGAACAGCGAAGCCTTAACTTTAAATGACATTTGTATTCTCAGACACTGAGTAGCATAAAAAAAAATCACATAGAACTGAACTGTAACTTAAATTTCCAAACTATGACTACTACATTCCAAAGAAACAGTTGAATTAAACATTTTCATAAAATATCCCATACCTGATGTATTTTATTATACTAAAATGGATTAGTTTTATTAAATGGCTGGTTTTATTTAGCATCTTGCAACAAGCACAATGTTTTAATCATGGTTACATTTGTTGGTAGGCAACTCCAACAGACACCTTGGTGGGATCGTTCATGGTTTTAGGATGGAGGGATTCACCCTCTGCCTGCTCAATTCTCTCTCCCTGCTGGGAAACATTCCCACTACATACCTAACTTTTAGCCGAACAGCAGGGGTTTAAGAGGACAAATCTGCCACCACTGCTTTTAAGTTGTAATTCACCTTGCTGCCGTGGGAAGTCCAAGCCGCAAACCCTATGTAGGTCATACACGCGGCTTGTGGCTTGCTCTTCAGGGGGTGAGTTTTACCAGGGAGAAATGTCCACTTTTGAGAAGTTACTCCACCATATCTCTGCTCCAGTAGTAAGGTTTGTACTAATGAGCTCCCTGAAAATTTCCACTGAAGTCATCAGGACTTACCCAACCATGGCCAAATCTCCCAATGCAGAGCCCAAGTTGCTGACAGGAGCAAATGCTGCAAGGGCAGCCCATTGGGCTTAATTTGGCATTCAGCTGGGTGCTGAACTCATCTGTGGAACAGATGATCATGGGTAGGGAGCCCCTCAAGAAATTTGCATCCAGACCAGAAGCTGTAGATAGCACATTTCCTTATTTATGCAATATTTAAGTATTTGTTTCTTTTTAATACTGAGCAGTATGCACATTAAGGTTTTCAAATCCTTTCCTTATGTTGCACACATGAACAATGCACATACTGTCAGTATGTCATTAGGTTGAGTACTCACGGATAAACATTTTAGTTCAGCTACTTTACTACTCCTGGGAAAAGTATTATACTTATTCCCACATATGATTGTTATACTTGAAGAGAAAGTATCACATCTTGTCTCCTCGAGAGAGCAGCGTTGCAGGTACCTGTTTAAAATATGAGATGGAACTATGATGCATCTGAGCAAAACTTGTCTTTGTGGTCAGAGTAGGGACAGCTGTCAAAAGACTGTTATGAAGGTTGTTGTCCACATAATCACTAAATCCAAATTCCTTAAAAATTTGCTTCATTGCACTCTGTTTGCTTCTGTGATAACCAGCCACGGGGCTCTTTGAGGGAAAATAAATGGCAATGGAATTAATTAGTGCAAAAAAGAAATCTATAAAGAGAATCCATTGAGGATGAAGTTCAGAAAAGAGAGACAAGTATTTTAAGTTAAGAAAATTGTTTTTCTTTCATTTAGGGGAAATTAATTAGCCTAGAAGCTAACAACTACTTAGCACTAAACCTTCAGTTTTCCACACTAAATAGATTGCATAAAGGAAAGACAAAAATCGTGCAATGGGATTCAAATTACATTTCAGAACATAACTTGTAAACTTGAAAGAAAAAGAAAAGCAGATGGAAATAACAGATGGGTCAGTTACAGACAACTAGTGCCAGCAGTGCTTAACTCTGAGGCTCAAGTACTAGGGTCACAGCCAAGTAAAAAGGATCTTTGGAAGGTAGAGGCAAGCAAACCCTATTACTATTTCACCAATCAAACATACCAGCCCTGAGCCAGCAGCCACATAGCCACAGTGCTGAGCCCAATCCCATTTCTTTGCCTTTTGGCAGGACGTAAAATGCAATTACACAGCAAAAGGCAGATGTACAGGAGAGGCAGAGGCCGCACAGCTGACATACAGTTGGGTAAGGCCCACTGGCATCATGGCAATGACAGTAGTGCCTACCTGTACAAACCTGCCCACTGGACCAAAGCTGCCAGTCGCAGTGGAGATGAAGGCTCCTCAGTCCTCACAAACTACTTTCTATGAGGTATATGAGGACTTAACAGGTGCATACAGTATAGCTCTAAAATCAACCCCCGTTAAGTCTTTTCTTACGTACAATTAGTCCATTTCTAAGTTAATTCTCCTAACTCACTTTCTCAAAGTCAAATGTCGAAGTCGCTTTTGATTTTCAGATCATGACATTAGGACATTATATCCCAGAAGTAATTCCTCTCCCAGTCCTTAATTGTCCTGTCCTTTGCAATGCATTATGCCTAATAGCAGATTGGTTCAAGCAACATTAATTTATTAGAGCTTTAATTCCCTCTTTTATACCATTTTAAGCCTCAAGTCACCCATAACCACAATTTTATTTACAAGTGTTTGTTAAATTATAACAGAGTCAATCTAATATTTTTTTTTGCCATGGGATACTTCACATAGCTGTTTTATTTGCCGATTAGTCCCCCTGTAGACCCTAATTGCTTTTCTACAGTAGGTCAGTTCTCTATATACACTTCTATTCTCATAACTACACACAATCAAACTCTAATCTTATCACCTCAGGACTGATGGTGTCTCAACATTTATAACTGAAAATCTCATTAAAAAATCTTCTGGCATTTTTCACAGATGGATGGAGTCTTATCATGTGTCCAAACCTAATTCCACCTTCAATAATCATATTCTCCTATTTAAATTTACATTGTTTTTATTCATCTCCCAGACATTTGATTCATGTCCCTGTCATTGTACAGCATCACTGTGCACCATGCACTGTGTTTTATTACAGACAGTTATGTTCCCATAACGGGTGAGGTGGGTCCGACTCAAAAAGGAATTACAGTCTTGCTGGAGCACTGTTGGTACCAGAAAGAGAGGTCAAGCGCTGCTCTTAAGGGGACAAGGTAGGGAGGAGATTTGGCAGGGTTTGGCAAGTGTTGCCTTGGCAAAGACGGAGGGATTTAACAAGGAGAGGCTGGAGGATAAAGGGCTTGCCTGAGAAAACAAGGATTTCAAGTCACATGAGCTGCAAAGAGAATTATCAGAAAACTCCCATGTTCAGTTCCTTCGTTTTTCCCTCAGAAAAAAAAAACAAAAAACAAAACCCTTCACAATTCTCAAAAAATGTTTGCATCACA